ATTTAATTTTATCTTTCAGTATCAGATGACTTTAAAGTGTTAGTGTGATTTTTTTTTATCAAAAATCATGAGAAAACCCAGCTACAAAACTCATGATAATATCACGATATGGTATCTTACGTTTTTATTAGTAACTAGCTGATCGCCAAACCTCGTATCGCCTTAAAATTAAATACTCTAAGTTCAATAAGCTCCTCTTTCGAGTCTGTTAAATAACAGAAATCTCTGGGCAATGAAAGGAATCCGGTCAAGATGTCAATTACGACTTTACCATTTCCAATATCTAACAACTGCTTTGAAAATATAATTGCACTTTGATCTTGTTGCAAAAACACTCTTGTTCTTTTTCCATGAATTTTGTTCGCTTTTTTGTCAGGAGTTCTTGGTAGTATCATTCCATTGTCTTTCGCTTATGAAAGTAAAATGTGTTTTTCCTGTATGTTTTCTTTTAGACTCTATATCACTTTCCAGGATTCTGAGTTCTTTGTACCTCCTATGTTTTGTTCGATGTTCATACATATTGATTCCAGTTATCATTTTTATCTTTTGTTATTAATCTTTTTACCTCTCTGTCCTTCTGTCTGTATCTTTCTAGGTCCACTTCTTCGCTTAACCATTTATGATATAACTGTTTCTTCTGCTTAATACATTCTTCGTGCTTTCTGATAGACGTTGTCGATATCTATTTGTTCTTCTCTCTTCGCAACCTAAGGCTTCCGCTGCTGCCTCCTTTATGCAGGATTTCATATGTTCATATGTTTCGTCTATGTTCTCAAAACTAAACTCCTCCAGTTTTTGGTCCAACCTTCGTCTGTACAAGTTTTTCACGGATTTCTTCCTTAGCAAGTGTAGTTTGTACTTTGTTTCGCCCTGCGTTTGAGTTTCATTTACCATTGTTCTTTTTGATTGATTTGTGTTTTTCCAAGGGAATCACATGTTTGCTATCAGTAATTTGTGGTCAGAACCACACCGCTCCCCTTGTAACTTTGACATCTGTAACTCTGATCGATGTTTGGATTTACATTATGAAGTAGTCAATTACAGCTCGGAGGTTTCTTGTTTCTTGGGTCTAGGTGAACTTGTGGATATCCTTATGGCGGTAGAATCCGTTCGTAATTTTCAGTCTGTTTATTTCACATATTTCGATTATTTTTTTCTCCATTTCCATTTGTCGCTTCTTCTCAATATGTTCCTACTGTTTGACTTTTTTGTTGTTTTCCTGTTCTACCGTTCATATCCTCTGTCAGAATAAGTTCTTGGTCTTGTTTGACCTTTTCTATTTGATCCTGTAGGGCTTCCATGAACTGTTCGTTTTCTGTTTCAGGTCTATCATCTGTTGGTCCATAAACTCCTAAGATTATTATCCTTCTTTCCCATAGTTCCCACTCCATTTTTATAATTCTTTCATTAATGGGTTCCCAAGACTTTATGGATTTTCTCCATTTATTTTTGATTAAAATGGCTACTCCTGCTTCTGCTCTCTGCTCTTTTTTGACTCCGCTCCAATAGTGCAGTACCCCATTTATATCTTCCGTGCCATTTCCTTTTTTTTGGTTTCGCTGGTCACCATTAGGTTTAATTTCACCTTTTTGAATTCCACGATTACTTCAGAGTCTTTCGTTCTCCAGCCCTGGACATTCCAGGTCCCACAAATTAGTGTTCTAGTTTTTTGGGATTTTCGTTTCTTCTTTTGGTTGAGTGTTAAGACTGGCTTTTCTAAATTATAACCAGTATTACCTCCCCCCGTATCCTTTGGGGCTTCCTCCTATTTCTTCAGCCGCCCACTCTGGGTCAGTCGCTGTTGATAACCGCCCACTCTGGGTCAGACGTTATCATTGTTGTTTGCCTGTGTGGTACGAGGTATTTCATTTCTCTCCTACCACCCATATCTGGGAGGCTTTCCCCTATCCGCCACCTTGGGGACTCGCTCTCTAGGGATTATAGTCTCCCCGAGAGAAAGATATATCAAGCTACATAAAAAACTGTATCTTGATAAAAAATTTAAACAAAATAAAAGAAAGTCCAAATAACAGAACAAAAAATTGAATTAGTATACTGTGGGTCTGTTAATATTCGTTAAATTTAAGATTTAATTTTATTGTTTTGTTTTATTGTATTTTATTTTATTCCATTTTATTTTATTTTACTCTATTTTATTCTATTTTATTGTATTTTATTCTATTTTATTATACTTTATTTCATTTACCTTTAATTTATTTTATTTTAATCTAATTTAATTTTATTGTATTTTATTTTGTTTTATTATATTCTCTATTTTATATTATATTTTTTCTATCTATGCCGGAGGATCAATGGAATACATTCCACCAGATCCAATGTTCACAGCGTCTATCAAAGTATCGTACGCAATCCTTTGTTGTTGATTTAATTGTAGAAAATTTGTATGAACTATTTCGACAAATGTTTTAGTGTTGAACTGTTGTTCTCTTTGTAACTGTTGTCTACTTTCATTAAGTCACAAAGAAAATGAATAACATTTATATACTGTTATACTAAGTATTAATTGTGCTTCATAAATTTTCTTTGATACATGTATAAAACATAAAAAATATGTCTTGATAATAAAGTAAAACAAAAAATATAAAATAAAAGTCAGACCAAATGACAGACCAAACAATTGAATTATAATACTACGGGTATTCAGGAGAAACAAAAGTTTGTTTCGCCAAAAGTTTGTTTGTCCTTGTGTATGTATTGTAATGTTCCATTTTGTCTATGACATTTTACTCTTTTCGGATAGGCCGCAATTGACGAAATGCCCTGAAGATGATCTAGGGATCGAAAGAACTTGGGCAAGATTAAATTAATACTGTGCTCGATATTTGCCTTTTATATTATCAAAGTTCATTTATTCGAGCATCAACCTTATTTCAAATTATTAATTTATTATAAACTGTCAGTCCTCATTCCGAAATTTGTTATACTGTAGATGAAAAAGTCGATATATTCTCAATTTATGTAAAAGTAATAAAAACAAGCAAGCGGCAAGAAGAGAGTATAGGCTGATTTATCCAGATCGACAGACTCCTTCTGCAAATAAATTTTTATATAATTATCGTCATGTGAAAAAATTTTTGAACGGAAGAAACGTACTATCGTAGGAAATAATGATGAAGATTTTAATACTTTGTTTTACTTTGAAGGTAAAAATTAAATACTTAAATTATAGATTAAATTCTTAATAACATTTTTATTTTAAAAAATTCCGAAACTAGTCTAAACAATGCTACTAATGGATTAGAGAAAAACCGTGCGACGATACATAGAGTTTTAAAAAAGCATAACTATAAGCAGTACAAATATTGCCGGTACAAGAACTTACCGATGTTCATAGGAGAAAGCGTTTACAGTTCTGTCAAGACATGCTAACAAATTTGAACAATGATCCTAATTATTTTTCTAACATTTTATTAACAGAAAAAGAAAAATTAAGCAAATAAAAAATTCAGGAAGAAAATCAATAAATGTGTGGTGCGGAATATTTCAAAACAAAATAGTTGGACCACTGTTTTATGATTATAAATTGACTGGGAATCATATTTGGACACAGCCATTACAGTTAGTAATGTAGATAAGTTATTAAATCAAAATTATACACAAAATCAATTAAATAGTATGATATGGCAACAAGATGGAGCACCGCCACGTAATGTAGTATTTAAAATAATCAATTTAATGTGTGGATCGGCAATAAGGGTAGGTGACCATTACGTGGCCACCAAATAGTCTCGACTTAATACCATGTGATAGCTTTTTATGGGGGTTTTTAAAAGAAAAAGTGTATTTTGATTCAAATACAAATATTAACACTATCACGGTCAAAGTTCGCGCGGAAATTGAAAATTTAAATGTTCATAATAACACAATATCTGACGCATTAGAAAATTTGAGACGAAGATACTACTTGTGCATTGATAACAATTAAGGGACCTTTGAGCATCTATTGTAATCTTAAATGTAGTATTGTATCTTAAATGTAGTAATACTATTTTATATGTAGTATTTAAGTCATTCATTTTGTGACTTTCTACATATATTTTTTTCTTATCTTAGTATAGTATAGTAATACCATACGCCATTATAGAACAAAACTAATGCTACACTATGTTATATATTTGTAATCAGGAAAGGCAGGGCTGGTCAAAACTATAAAAAAATACAGGGTGTCCCATTTGAAATATTCAAGATGCATTTTATTGGGCACTCCCTGTATACAAAATTTGGTCTGTTGCTACACTGTTGGTCGGTACAGATAAAATAATACATCTTTTACTTGAAACATTTTTTTATATTACCGAAATTAAGGAAAATAAGTGGGGGTCAAAATATAATAAGAAACCCTGTACATGTTTTGAGCGACTAAATAAATGTGTAAAAACCCTTTAAATATTGTTAAATTAAAGTTAAGTTATATTATTTGATTTAAATCATAGCTTCTTTTGTTAATAATAGTATTGCGCCATCTATTAACGCTATTAATCTATTACCAGATAAAATTTTTTTTACGTATTTTCTTACAATTTTTTGGAAATTATCTTTTGCACAAACCTGATAATAACAAACATAACAAAAAGAGAAATTTTGTGCAGTCTGACGAGATTAATTTTTATTTATATACATTTAGTAATTATTATAATATTATTTTAGTAATTAGTAATTTAATAAGTAATCTTATGTTTAGTATATAGAAATAATTGTTCTGTCAGATTAGGTGTTGTTGTCTTTTAAATTAATACTGTTTTGTATTTTGAGAACGACATCCGAAGTGGAAATCAAAACGTCAAAAATAAACTTATTTTAAAGTAAAGTTGTGGCTTATTTCCAACAAAAACAGTAAAACGACACATTTAAAAACAAACAGCTGACTGTAAGTGTAGTGGTTGCAATTTAATGGAAACTAATTTTACATAAGAAATGTGCCGGGATTCTTTGGAGCCATACTAAAAAAAAAAAAAACCAATTTATTGTTGTAATATAAAATTTATTTATCATCCATATTAGAGTTTATACTGTTATGTTAAGAGTTTACAACAGAGAACAACGGAGAAATTTTAAATGATTTATGTTTTGATGATACACTAGCAGAACAACAGAACAAAATAACAGTGATTTACAGAACGCAATGAAACGTTTCAATACATGCTAAGTATCATGCCGATGGCGTTAAGATCGGAACAATCCATCCAATTTCGTTTTACACAGGTTTTACTGTATAAATTCTAACTATAATTCTAGCAATATATTTAGCACGCTAGATAATTATTCAGTTAACAAGCTGGGTTCAGATAAAACTTTACTAAAAGTAAATATGTGTTAACTCTGAAAATAATTACCAAATAATCTGACAATAAGTGAAAACCTTAGCGAATATACGAACATAATACCGTATATACGCCGCATTATCCTTATTAAAAAAGTTCTATTAATTTCCGTGTAATATAATGCTTCCGTGGTAAGCAATTGATTATCACAAAAAAATCTAATAGTTTTTCAACGATATCTGAATTTCCGCTATACTTTTTCCTCTCGTTTCTGGTAAATATACATGCATAAGAATCGCACCAAAAATACAGAACAAACAAAATATCCACATACACCAATGAATCCCCAAAACACTAGCTACGAAGGGAAACGCAGAAGAAAAACCTATGAATATTAGTCCTGTCGTGTTATAGAGAATAACAAAGGCAGTTGCTCTAAGATCGGATGTGAACAGTTCGCTTGTTAAAACTGTTGGAAGTGGACCAAGACCTAAAGAAAAGGACATTACGTACACTAAAACTGTCACAATCGGGACCAGTTGTAATTGGGAGACTAAGGGGGAATTAAGATGTGTCAAATAAAAATATATGCCCAATATCGCCACTGAGATTCCAGTTCCGATTGAAGAAACTAATAACATTATCTTTCTGTCAAATCTTTCTACAATCATGGAACTGACCGTAAAGCTAATCGTTTTAGTAATTCCCACACTAATTGCTACTGTATTAGAGGAGATATTTGAACTCGATGCTTCAAAGATTGGCTCCATAAGACTCATCACAGTCGGTACCCCACACAGAAATTGTGTACATATGACTAGAGAGGCTAAAAATAAACCAAGTCTTGCTTCTTTTACAGTACACATTTGAACAATTTTTAGTTGATTCTCGGAGTTTACTTTATTCACTTCTTCTCTTATGTCATTAAAATCGCTACATAATTCATTGTCGGTTTTGTTATTTCTCAATCGCTTTAATACATCTATACATTTTTTTTCCTTTCCTTTTGAGAACAAATATACTGGAGATTCTGGTGCAAATGGGAAAAATATAAGAAATGGTACTAGGGGAAGACCAACCAAAAGTGTAAAAATTTTAAAATTAAATTTTGGTCCAATAATAAAGCAATACAGCTCACCAAGACTGAGACAGACCGACATCAGGCTGCCGTATTTTGCTCTGTTGTGATTTTCACAAATTTCTGTCAAATATATGGGGAGCACCATCATAGTAGTGCTTATACAAGTTACGTAAAGACAATTCCAAGTTATAATCAGTTTCATATTTGTGCTGTAAGCTGTTCCAATTAAACCCACCAATATGCCAAAGCATAAAATCTGTAGACTTAATTTTCTGCCCAGTCGATCCGCTGCCATTTGTAAGATGCTACATCCAATTAAGGATACGAACATAGGTGCTCCTAATAACATAGATATTTCTGATGTTGTTATTGGTGTTCCAATAGGATTGATTGCTGTATCGTTGGATTCTAGCTTTAAAATGGCTGGGGAAGTCCATGTTATTGATGATCCTATTATTACCATAGGAAGTATCCCTAGAAATAAAATTAAATGTAATTAAATTAAGTTATTTATTTATATTTAAAAACATACAAAATAAAAAGTCTTGTATGAGGTCTTTGACGGTTTTTATCTTACTAAATACTTATATAACTGAGAATGACCATTACATAAAAAGCTTCTGAAATTATTTTCTTATGATATATGTAGGTTAATATTGAAACGTCAAAAGTTATTTAAAAACATAATTTTCATTATAATCGATTGTGGCTTAATCCCATGGAAACATAATATTGACCATTACCTACATAAACTCGATTATTTAAAAGAAAGAATAAACAAAAAAACTTTTCTCTTTCTTTATCTCCCTGCTGGGTACAGTTCTACAGTTAGAATCTTATTCTCTCATTTCTTCATCATTCTCTTATTTCTTCTTCCTCCTTATAAGCAATTATTCTGCTTGCTGATTTGCGGATTAATACCTCTACGGAACGTTCTCACTCCACCTTTTGCTCGGTTTTCCGATACTTCTTTTGTCGATTACTGAATTATCTCGTGCTATTTTGACGACACTGGTCTCCTCCATTCTGCTTATGTCGTTACTCGATTCTTTTGGAACGTGGGATAAGGCAGGGAGATATATTGTCACGGAAATTAGTCATAACGGTACTAGAGTATGCCTTTAAGATGGTTAATTGGGACCACAGAGGAATAACAATAGACGGAGAAAAACTTAACCATCTTTTTTTTACAGATGGCATTGTCCTTATCCCAGATAATTTAGGAGAAGCCACAGATATGTTAAATGAATTGGACTTTGCATGTTCAAAGGTGGGCCTCAGAATGAACTTGTCCAAAACTAACTTTATTACAAATATGGTCCCCAATAACCATTTAACTATTTAAAACATAGTGGTAGAACTGGTGGAAAAATATACGTATTTGGGTCACGAAATTAAAATCAGCAGGGATAACCAGAAATCCAAAGACGAGTTACTTTAGCGTGGGCAGCCTTTGGAAAACTGTGAGACACTTAGGAGCAACATACCAATTAGCCTCAAAAGAAAACTATTTACCAATGCATATTACCGGTCGTGACATATGGGGCGGAAACAATGACTCTAACCAAGACTACGGCTTCGAAATTGAGAGTGGCATAGAGACGAATGGAACGATCTATGCTGAGAGTGACGTTGCAGGATCGAATAAGAAACGAAGATATGCAAAGAAGGACGAGTATAGGCGATTTTCTGAAACGAATAGCGGAACTAAAATGGAATTGGGCAGGCCATGTAGCGAGAATGTATGACTTACGATGGACGAGCAAAATTACAGACAAACGTTGTAGAGGAAGAGAACCTACACGTTGGGCTGAGGACATCAGCACAAAAAGGAGGAGCACAAAATCGCAAAGAATGGAGGAGTTTAAGGGAGGTCTATATCCAGCAGTGGACGTAATAAATGAAGGCTGGATGATGATGATAAATATGATGATGTCATTATTGGCATAATAATATATATACTGGCTTCATACTTGTACCGTACTTTGTTAACGGGCAGCCATTAGAATCTGTGTTTTCGTATAACGATCTTGGTGTTATTGTGAACAGCAGCCTAACTTGGTCCGATCATATTACATCTGTTTGTAAACGTGCAAAACTCCAGACTGTATCTTATTCGGAGGTGTTTTTCGGGAGTTTCAATGCAATCATTTTGCAAACTTTACACTTTGTACGTAAGACCCATACTAGAATACGCTGGACCAATGTGGTATCCCGATCTGGTTCGAGACAAGAATCTGTTGGAAAACGTTCAAAGAAAAGCCACTCGAATTTCTTTGGGACCGAGAAGACCGTCTTATGCAGAAAGACTTAGTATGGCTAATCTAACTACTTTTGAACTTCGCCGACAACGTGGAGACTTAATTACAACATTCAAAATACTGAAATTCAATTTTGGAAACCTCCATGAAATATTTATCATAAACCAAGATGAACGCCTCAGAGGTCAGTTTTTGAGTGCTGGAATAACCTCAACGATAACATTGTCTCCGCTTCCTCTACCAACTCGTTCAAAAACAGACTCGACAGTTTTATATTATAGTTAAAATATTGTTTTTCCTTTAAAACAAAATTTGTAATTTTATTTCTTTTAGTTGTAATTTTTGTTATTTACTAGTAGGTGATAAATGAAATTTCTTTGTTTTTGGCATAATAGGGACTTAGTTCCTCTGCCCTCGCTTATATTATAATAATAATAATAATAATAATAATAATAATAATAATAATAATACCTGTGGTAACCTGTGGGAGTTTTTATCAGTTCTTCTATCAGGCGCGGCCCCCTGCGAATGGGGATGCTTTCTGGGTATCCGTAGCGCAGATACCCAGAGGGTAACAGGAATACCTGTCGTGGAACAAAAACTGACACCTGGCAGTAGGTATAAAATGCACACCCATGATAATGGAGTTTATTAATTTATGTTTAGGGTCGCTGCCTGGGGATCGCCAGGGCACGTCTGGAGCCGGCGCTGGACGTGACAGCATGCGGACGTCGGTGGCAGGGTGTTGAGGAGGCGGGCCCCTGTCATACAATCAGCTACAGCCCAACAACAACAACAACCACAAGTGAGCCAAACAACAACAAGAGCTCCACTCGCTGAAGGTGCTGCGCTGGAACATCAGCCGGGCGCTCACTCAAGCGGGACGACCGAGGCAGCGTATGAGGTGGACAGTGTCCATAAACGAAAATATTTTGCGCTTTTATTATAAGGTGACAAACCTCGGTCAAGAAACAATCGGCTATCGACAACAACTGTATGCCGAATTTTGCAGGGAGTACCCAGAAATCCAAGTATCTGAACAAAGAGTAGCAGATCAATACCGGGTAATTTTAAGAAACAATCTTATTCCAGAGAATAGACGCGACACCATCAGACGCGAAGTCGAACGGGAGATTCATAACCAAGAGCTAGTTGTGAATCAAGACCATAATGAAGTCCCAAATGAGCAGATTCCTGAGATTCTCATACAAGAAACTCAACCTAATAATATACAGCAGGACAATAACGAGTTGCACGATAGTCTGGCAAACGAAATGGCGCGCGCCGTACAAGAGTTTAGTGGAACAAACCCGCTTAGCAGACCACCGCTACCAAAAATAAACTCTTCCAAGAAACTAGGAGCGCTGTTACAAATTGTGAACACTGAAGTCCTACCCAATTATATCACAGAAGCCCACACATTGGAATATTTGCATATGCTGATTTACTGTGCAGCAACAGCAATTGCTAATGTTATGGGCATTAAGATCAGAACACGACGGGTACCAACATCCGAAGGACTGGTAACAGAATAGCACCCTGGGAAAAACGACTGCTGAATAAGATCGAATTACTGCGTAGGGACATTGGACAAATAACAGAGTACATAAGAGGAGTGAGAAGTAGAAAAATCATCAAAAGAGCTGAAGAAATACAGTTTAACACTCTAAGACACTCACGATATGATCCAGAAAACAACACACCTCAACATTGCCTGGACACATTAAAACAAAAACTATCTGTTTACTCAGGCCGCCTGAGGAGATACAAAGTTAGTAACAACCGGAAATGCGACAATATACTTTTTGAGCAAGCAGAGAAAACTTTCTATAGGAAACTTAATTCCACTGTAGAAAACGCAAATAAATCCTACCCAAGCCAAGAAGAAATTCATGAGTTTTGGGGAAACCAACTTTCGACGCCAGCTACCCATAACAACAATGCTGGATGGATTGAAGACACCACGAACAAATGTCAACACTACAGGAATATTCCTTATGAACCTTTCACCACTGAAGAAGTCTCGAACATTATCAAAGAGCTTCATAACTGGAAATCTCCTGGACCGGACGGAGTTCAAAACTTCTGGCTAAAGAATTTTGGAGTGTTCATGAGCTTTTAACAGTATTTATTAATAATATTATTTCTAATTCACAGAAATACCATCATTCCTTACTCAGGGAACCACTTATCTAATACCGAAGGATCAAAATAACACCCAAGATCCAGCCAAGTACCGCCCAATTACTTGTCTTCCAACTTTGTACAAATTGGTCACATCCTGTGTGGCCCGGCGTATCTACCAACACTGTGCTCTGAACAATATCATAGAGCCCCAACAGAAAGGATGCGCTAAGGGCTCCATGGGATGCAAAGAACAACTTATTATCGACTCAGTCATTTCTAACCAGGCATACACCAAAAAAGAAACCTTTTTACTGCCTTCATTGACTACAAGAAGGCTTTTGATTCAGTGCCGCATGAATGGCTTATAGATATATTAAAAATATATAAAGTCGATGATAATCTCGTGACCTTTTTGAAGCATATAATGGCAGAGTGGAAGACTAAAATTCACCTTCAAATACCTGGTGAAATTAATATCGAAACTGAAGATATCCCTATTAACCGGGGCCTTTTCCAAGGGGACTCGTTGAGTCCACTTTGGTTCTGCCTAGCGATGAACCCACTATCTCAGCTGCTGAACTCTACTGACTCAGGATTTAGCATCAAAAATAACAACACCGTTGTAGCGAAGCTTAATCATCTGTTGTATATGGATGATTTAAAATTAATGGCTTCCACCCGAAACCACCTAGATGAGATGCTAAAAACTGTAGAAAATTTCTCAAATGACATCAGTATGCATTTTGGACTAGACAAGTGCCGTATACTAAATATAGTCAGAGGAAAGGTTCAGCCTGGAGGTTTCGATATGCAAGATGGCCAAAACATCGAGGCAATGGGTGAAAATGATATGTACAAATATCTCGGAGTAAAACAAGCACGTAAAATTGACCATAAACAAATGAAAACGGAACTAACTTCGGAGTTCGTGCGAAGGGTAAGACAACTAAATCGGTCATATCTTAATAGTAAAAATTTGTTTAAGGCATTAAATACGTACGCCTGTTCCGCGCTGAGCTACTCATTTGGTATTATAAAGTGGTCAAAAACGGATATAGAGGGTCTTCAGCGGAAAGTAAGAACACTTCTCACAAAGGCGCAAAAACATCATCCACGTAGTGCAGTAGAGAGAACAACATTACCGCGGTATCAAGGGGGAAGAGGACTTATGGATATAGGTGAGCAATTAGATAAACAAATTGCTAATTTAAGATCTTATTTTCAGGTACAGGCTGAGACATCTACTTTACATCGAGCAATTTGCGCAGTAGATGATACGACGCCGCTTAAACTGAGGGAACAAGAAATGCGCATAAACCACCTGACCCAGCAAGAAAAAATGCGCACCTGGATGAGTAAACCTCTGCATGGGCGACATCTCAATGAGATCAACCAAGAATATGTAGACAATACAGCGTCGAACTATTGGTTGACATCAGGAAAGATGTTTCCCGAGACTGAGGGCTTCCTACTTGCCATTCAGGATCAGGTTATTCCAACTAAAAATTACCTGAAATATATTGTTAAAGATCCTCAAGTACAAAATGACAAATGCCGATATGGATGCCAAGCCCAAGAAACCATCCAACATCTTACCGGTGGCTGCCAGGCATTTGTCGGTACTGATTATAAAGAACGCCATGACTCAGTAGGAAAGATTATCCACCAAGAACTAGCTGACAAACTGGGACTTCTCCATACCGACCATCTTCCTTATTATCAATACGCTCCTGATAGAATGCTTGAAAATGACAACTACAAGCTATACTGGGACCGCACTGTGCTTACAGACCAACCAGTGGCCCATAATAGACCGGATCTCATACTAGTTAATAAACTTACTAGACAAACAACACTTATTGATGTGGCGATACCCAACACCAATAATTTAGTTGTTAAATACAACGAAAAGATCGCCAAGTACAGAGATCTAGAAATACAAATCAGGAGACAATGGAGAATGGAAAGTACCCAGACACTACCTATTGTTCTATCTACTACTGGTGTTATTCCCAAAAACCTCCTAGCGAACATAAAACAACTAGGTCTAAATGAACATCTTTATAAGGCCATGCAGAAAGCTGTACTCCTCGCGACGTCCAGATGTGTACGAAAATTTTTGGGAGATACTCCAACATACCAAGTCACCTAGGACTCGATAACATGGAAAGAGTCCCACCAGAGCTCAATCCTTTTGATACCGTAGGTATCTGGGATGAGTGAATTTTCCCCTTAGAGGGAGTGTGAGCCGTATGGCTAAATCTGGATAATAATACTGGCTTCATAAATTCTTGACATCCCAGTGTTAATTTGTCTGTATCGCCATATCGTGTTATTAAGGCATCCTGCCAGTCTATTTGCTTTTTGTGCGTAATCTCTCACTTCTTTCCCCAGGTCTCTATAGCTAGACAGTGTAATTACCAGGTATTTTATTTCCATTACTTGTTCAATACTGATGCCATTATTTCTAGCAAATGGTCCCAATTGTCATTTACGTTCGTACCAAGGTAGGTGTATGTTTTTACTCTTTCTATTGGTTAACCATTCACACTGATTCTTTCAATTTGTTGTTCTTTTTTAGAGATACATTCATACATTTGGTTTTTTTAATGTTTAGTGAAAGTCCACATCTCCGACTTACTTCTGTGATTTTATTTAATAACTTCTAGAGGGCTTCATAACTGTCAGCGAATAAGTACCACCGTGTTATCCGCGTATCTGATAATATTGATACATTCTCCGTTAATTCGAATTCCGGCTTCGACATCCTGTATTGCTTTTTGAAAGATTTCGTCAGAGTATATGTTAAACAGCAAGGGTGATAGTATACATCCCTGTCTGACCCCACGTTTGATTTTGTTATCATCGGATTCTCCTGTCTCTGTACGCATAGACGATGTTTGATTCCATTAAAGATTGCTAATAATGCTTAGTAGTCTAGACGGGATCTGTTTTGGATTGGACATTTTCCATAGGAAGCTATTTTTTTGCTAGAATCCCTTCAGGATGTGCCCAATATCGATAATCACGATATGCGCCAGTCACAAACCCTGTGCTAAATTTTTTATTTAACAAAATCTGAAAACAATTGAAAATTTCTCATTTTTTTGCTAATATTTTCGTTTATAATTCGGAAAATATTGATCTTACAGAAAAAGTTATAAGAAGTCAAAAGTTACGTAATTCAATTTTACACAATATTTCATTAGCTAGAAATTGAAAATTTAATGTTTATTGTTGAAAAAATAGCAATAATTGGAAAAAAAGTACAAAAAATGAAGTTAATCCTTTAAAATGTTTTTGACTTTCTAAACTTGACTTACAAGCTCCATATTCCGCCTAGAAAAACTTTTTAATATGTTTAAAACGTGTGCTAAATTTTGATAAGATCGGTCAGATAGGTTTTGCATAATAATTGTGCAATCCAGCCTACTGGAAAAAAATCGCAAATTTTCAAATTTACCGTAGGCCCTAAATAAGGCCCTCAGATAGTTGCAAATTTTTTTTCGTATAAAGGAAGGCTCAAACTAGGAGAGTCTAGAAAATTTTTAAACATTTTTTAGACTTATAAACAAATTGAACAACTTTACGAGCTTTAAACATATCATTTTCGAATCAAAATATATTCTCCAATCAAAGAATGTCATTCTTATGATAAAACTACAGAAATTAATTATTTTAAAAAGTTCGATTTTTACAAAAAAAAATTTTCGTTCGCCTTTGTTTTAACAATTCAAACTATTTATTAACAATTTATAAATACATATTTGTTCACTAAAAGTAACAATATATAATAACAGTAATAATTTAAATTGTTAAAACAAAGGCGAACGAATTTTTTTTTTGTAAAAATCAAACTTTTTAAAATAATTAAATTCTGCAATATTATTATAATAAGGACATTATTTGATTTGAGAATATATTTTGATCCGAAAATGATATGTTTTAAGCTCGTAAAGTTATTCAATTTGTTTATAAGCCTAAAAAATGTTTAAAACTTTAAAAATTTTCTAGGCTCTCCTAGTGAACCGATTTGAATTTTACAAAAAGCGTTTTTAAGTTTGATCCTTCCTTTATATGTAAAAAAATTGCAACTATCTGAGGGCCTTATTTAGGGCCTACTATAAATTTGAAAATTTGCGATTTTTTTCCAGTAGGCTGGATTGCACAATTATTATGCAAAATCTATCCGACTGATCTTAACCAAATTTAGCACACGTTTTAAACATATTAAAAAGTTTTTCTAGGCGGAATATGGAGCTTGTAAGTCAAGTTTAAAAAGTCGAAAACATTTAAAGGATTAACTTAATTTTTTTGTACTTTTTTTTTCAATTATTGCTATTTTTTCAACAATAAACATTAAATTTTTAATTTCTAGCTAACGACATATTGTGTAAAATTGAATAACGAAACTTTTACCTTCTTATAATTTTTTCTCTAAGATCAATATTTTCCGAATTATAAACAAAAATAGGAGCAAAAAAATGAGAAATTTTCAATTGTGTTCAGATTTTGTTAAATAAAAAATTTAGCACAGGGTTTGCGACTGGCGCATATCGTGATTATCGATATTGGGCCCACCCTGAAGGGATTCCAGCAAAAAAAATAGCTTCCTATGGAAAATGTCCATTATGGTCTGAATTTTTACAGATCTCGCTTAGTCTATAGATCACAGGTATTTATTCCGATATTTGTTAATATCTCCATCCGCTTGTCGTGTTGACAAACCGCTGAATTAAAACGCAGAATAAGACTAAAAACTTAGAAAGTTGGCCTACATATTGAAAAATAGAAAATATCCACAATATCTTCGCATTAAATTATTTGACCAATGTATCCTACCAGTGCTAACGCGGCACAAAAATGGTCGCTAAGAAAAGAGAACATGTAAAAATAGCTAAAACAGAAAAGTCCATGGAGAGGCAGATGTTCCACGTAAAATTAAAAGACAAAGAGAATAATGATTAGATACGGTGCAGGATCAAAGTAAAATATGCTATACACACGATATCTATATTTAAATGGAAATTTGTGGGCCACGGCATAAGATAGAAACATGGTAGATAAAATTGAAAATCATTAACTGGATAGCATGGGAGTATAAACGTGGGAGAGGAAGACCACTAAAAAAATGGGCAGATGAGTTAAAACACAAAAATTGAGAACATTTTTCAACTTATAATAAAACATTTTGTTTTATGAACAAGAAACATATAACGCATTATCTATAATAATAAAAGACAAATCACAATAAAATGTAAAGTAATACAATAAAAACAATGAGAATATTTTCAAGAATCCTAGTTCAGATTTGAATGAACATAACAGTGGAAATGAGCTAATTATTACAGAAAATACTAATAGACCTCACTTACCAATAATTGCAGTAAAATAAAGAAACAACGTGTCAGGTTTATGTTTGATTTCTTGATCACATTTTAATTCATCAACACATTGTTCATACTTTTCCTTATTAGTTAGGAGCTCCCTAACTTCGTTGCTGCTTTCCATTATTATTTTATCTACACTAAATAAAAATAAAATCATAGTATTATCTTTATATCCAAAGTTTTTTAGAACGTTAAGTTTTAACAAATAAGATAAAAGAATTGAATTGACTTTGCATTTTGACGTGTTATTGATAACTGGAAGATTCATTATTATGTAAATAATTACTTTATACTAGACAAGTACCGTATTCATAATTCATATTAGAATTTAGCCAGAAGAAATATTCAGTCAGGAAGATTTGGACAAAAAATGATTTGTAAAAATATCGTGGATAAAAGAAAGGGCGAAGAATTGACCATAAACAAATGAAGTTGAGATGACTTTTGAGTTCTTAGGAAAATTTAAAATAAGAGAAAGGCACAGAAACATCATTTTTATAGGGCAGTGCAAATAACAACGGTGCTGCCGTACCTAGGGAGTACCCTTAAGTTAATGGGGACAATTGAACGGAATCAATTTACTAATTTGTACCACATTGTTTACTAATTTATTACCACCCTAATAATTTTTCACCACCAAACCACCCTTAATAGGAGCGATTCTGCTGGCTCAAGCTAGCAGAATATGGAAAAAGAACTTTTTGCCTACGGCATATTTTTTCACTCATTTTTCACTAACACTATCAGAAAAAAATATGATATACCACAGTGTTCTGTTAGGTTTTTACGAATTTATTACCACCTTAGTAATTTTTGCCCCCTCAACTACCCCTTATGGAAAGTCAATAATTCTTTTAGATTAAAGTTTAAGGGGAAAAATTCTTTCTTTCTAATTTACTGTCATCCACTTATAACTGAAATAAAAAAGTGTTTTTAAGTTTTAACTTTACTTACCTTTAATCACCTTGATAATTTTGAACCCCTAAACCAATCTTATTTTGAAACGTTCCTGCTAGCTTAATGTTTGAGCCAGAGAAATTAGAAATTTATTACCACCCCAGTAATTTTATTCACCCCTTAACTGCCTCTTTTGGGAAGCCAATAATTCTGGTAGTTTCAAATTGAAGGTGAAAAAATATTCTTTTACTATTTCACTCTTCTCTACTTATTACTGAAATAAGAAAAAAGTGTTCTGTTAAGTTTATACTAAATTTTGATCACCATGATAATTTTTCACCCCTAAACTAATCTTATGGAAACGTTCCTGCTAGTTTAATATTCAAACCAGCGGATTTAATAAAAATTATTTTTGAAATACAATAGTGTTCTGCTATGGTATTTTTCTATCCGAATTGTCGAATAAAGGCCTCTCCCATTTCTCGCTATTCATCCCTGTTGTGTGCTAGGCGTTTCCACATTGGTCCTGCCTCTTTTGATATCGTCGCTCCAGCGCATTTGAGGTCTTCCTCTTAGTCTCTTCGCATCATACGGTCGCCAGTTTCTGACTTCTTTGTTCCATCTACCATCTTCGAGACGTTTCGCGGCGTCCTTTATTTTTGTTTTGTTCCGGATTGCTTTGTTCGTTTGCCGATCTAATAGTGAGATACCAAGCATCTGTCGTTCCATGGCTTGCTGAGTTTTTCGAATCTTGTCCATGTTCTTTTTTGTGAATGTCCAGGTTTGAGCTCCGTAAGTGAGAACGGGAAGGATACAAGAATCGAACACTTTGGTTCGAAGGTTTTGGGGTATCTTTTTGTCTTTCAGTATGTATGAGAGTTTTCCAAATGCAGCCGATCCCATTCTTACTCGTCTGCTTATTTCGGTAGTTTGGTTTTCTTTGTTTACCTTGATATTCTGACCCAGATATATGTATTCTTCTAAATGTTCCACTTTTGTTCCTTGGATGGTTATCGTCGGTTGATCATCTTTATTCGACATTAGCTTAGTTTTACTCAGATTCATTTTCAGTCCTTTTTTTATGGATTCCGTATGAAGCTCATCGATCATCGTCTTCAGTTATTTCCAGCTGTCGGCTATTAGTACTACGTCATCTGCATATCTTAGATGGTTTAAATACTTTCCGTTTATCGATAGTCCCTTCGTTTCCCAATTTAGTGATTTAAAGATGTCTTTAAGTGCGGCAATAAATAGTTTTGGAGATATGGTGTCTCCCTGTCTTACTCCTCGGTTGATTTTTATTGACCTCGTTTTCATTCAGTTATCCATCGTTACTACCATTTCAGCGTGTTGATATATATTATGTATTAATATCCTATATCTAGAATCTATTCTACTGTTGACCAGTGCTTCCTCAATAGCCCATAGTTCTATGCTGTCAACAATGCTTAGGTTAAAATTTATTGCGAATTTTTTTATATATTCACTGTACTTATAATTGAAATAAAAAAGTGTTCCGGTAAGTTTTTGCTACACTTTCACCACCCTGATAATTTTCCACCACTAAAGCAATCTTATTTGGAAACGTTCCCGCTAGCTAAGTAATCGAGATAGCAGTATTAAAAAATATATATTTTTGAAATACCACAGTGTTTGGATAGGTTTTTAAATACCACATGATTCTGCTTGATCTTTACTAATTTTTTGCCTCTCAAGTAACACGTGGTAGCTTAGGTTAAAATAAAAAAGTAATTTTTAAATACTACTGTGTGTTACAAAGTTGAATTTTGAACTGAAAAAACAAAATTTAGAAAAGTATTTTTAATAATTTTTTTGTATACTTTTACTTCAACCTTTTATTTTTTGCCAATATTTAACCAATATCTTTCTATTTTTCACCTAACACTTTGGGCGTGAATTCCGCACGTTACACTCTAATTTTGGGGGCGTAAAGTCATTCTTTTTCGTCCAGTATTGGGATCGTGCAAGTTCGAAACAGCGACAGCTGGTGTCGTAAATCAGCAAAATTTACTGCGCTTTTATGTTAGATCGGGGTAACCGGATGACTGTAAAGGACGTGGCCCCAAAAAAGAATAAGAAAAAAAGTAAGATTGAGGTTATGTCGGTATGTTATTAAAAGGTAAACGTTGATGTAGCGTAAATACAAATATATATATTATTGAATTACAGCATTACTGTTAATATGGATTCAATAATTAAAACTGGATTTGAGAAAGTAAATCACCAAATAACTTTTCAACCAAGCACTGAGTCAAAGGGAAAAGCTTTAGTAGTGGCAAATGTCAAAAAATAATGGAAGAATTAAGAAAAATAAATTACTATAAATAATGCTAATGCATAAATTAGCAGGTTAAGCCATGATATCATCATATTGGTTTGAATAATTAATTCTTTCCTGTAAACTTTTGGACAGCGAATATATCTTAATGCATCTTCAGAAAAACTTGAACTTGATGCATTCTTTTAAACTTCAAAAAAATAAAATTTAAACAATAAACTTGATTTTTGTGTTAAAATGAACTCTAAGTTAGTGTTATGAAACTAAAATTTACACTTAAAACTGAACTTTTATTTATTTCAAACTGACTTTAAAATCGGGCGCAAGAATAATGCATAATTTGGGTTATGTTACTTATGCTTTTTTATGATATAAATCCACTTTTCTCTTTGTAGTACTTTGTGCTTCGAAGTTGGAAACGAATAAAACTTAAATTGACAATTTTTTGTTGTATTTTTACAATTTATAACACAGCATTTCCCAAATCCCATTTTCTTCAGAGACAGAAGGTGTAAATGTAAATAAACAAAACGAATATGATATATGACAATTGACAATATGAATTTATGAAATCTATGAAATGTGCACTAAAAAATGCAAAATTTCTCCGCTAATCGCGCACGATCGTTTCTCGTATCCCCTCCAAGTACTTGCACGTCGCCAATAAAAAAATAAACGTTTTCTCATTTCAAGAGTTGAAAATCAAATTTGGTCGTGATCGTGCGTAACTGAATGTGCGCTGGCTTTTACTATCAAAAATTATTTAAAAATTATTGTACTCAGCATAAAACACACTCAGGGACAGTACAGAGGCGCTATATTTGCAATGTATTGCCAAAGCTGAATAATAGTAAAGAGTGCGGTATCAATCTAATATCCGATTAACACTGCAGCCCCACTCCTTGATTGGCCGTACATTTCGCTCAGGTCTATGGATGTACCTATTAAATACAAATCTTTTAATCTTTTAACAATAGGTACGCAAGGTGTCCCGATCCTCCTTTACAATTAGATAATTTATGTAATAGACAATAAAAATATTTCAATTTAAATATTTCTTTTCTGGTAATTTTTCTGTGAAATATAACAATCTCATTGTATTTACTAAAACTCAACTTGATTTCAGTTATTTTATATTCACAAAAGGGACTCACGATTCGATTTCGCTTAGTCGTGTACTCACGACTCTAATCAGAGTCAATTTTTTAAAACAGTTAAAATTTATAATTTTTGGAAAAAAGTATTTTCATAGTTTCAATATTTAAACATTTAAAAAATAAATATTAGTTAGCACAGAGTAATATTTTGGAATGTTTTTAATTATGGTAGTTGAGAAAAAAATGACTAGGCTGGTAAAAATCTAGCAGTGCACTTTTGTATTTCCAAAAAGATTTTGCATTTAGTTAGCGTGAATGCATAGCTTGTTGAATGTTTCCCATTGTGGTTCCCCCAACTGTGGCTTAGGGGGTCAAAAATTATGAGAATGGATAAAAGTCAGCAAAAACCTGGAAAGCAATTTATACTTACAGTTACAAGTAGAGTACAGTAAAATTGTAAAAAGGGATTTTTATCACCTTAAATATTAACCCAACCTAATAATTGACTTCTATATGCTATGGTAATAAATTCGTAAAAAACCTAGCAGAGAACTGTGGTATATCACAAATATTTTTTTAATACTATTAGCATTAACCGTAAGCCAGCAGAATCGCCCCCTTACGAGTATTTTGGTGGTGAAAAGTTTTTAGGGTGGTAATAAATTAGTGAAAAATGGGTGAAAAAATATGCCGTAGGCAAAAGTTTCTTTTTCTGAATTCTGCTAGCTTGAACCGTAAGCCAGAAGAATCGTTCCCATTAATGGTGATTTGTTGGTGAAAAATTCTTCGAGTGGTAATAAATTATTGAAAAATGGGTGAAAAAATATGGCGTAGGTAAAAAGTTTGTTTTTTCGAAATCTGCTA